TATATGAATTTATATTTATTTTTAATAAATATTTAAGATAATTATACTTTGACCTAGTTTTTTAATATAACTATATAAATAAATTAATTCATAATTAAGTTACACTCTATCATATACCAACAGAAAATTAATTATTTATTTTACTACCACACCCATTATTATTATTATTATTATTATTATTATTTATTTACTCATACTTTTATATTTATTTATTTACAATATTTAACTTTAATTTGGCACAACTGGTATTATAATTTCATATTTCTATTACTTTGGCCCTAAATAATAATCCATAATTAATCTCACATTTGATAATCCAATGCCAAATTAGATTATGTATTTATTATTATTTATTTAATAATATATCATCACATACAACCATAATATTAGTATAAAATTTAACGGACATCTTAAAATTTCGAGTTGTTACAGATGTAGTTTTAGAATCATGATTTAAGTGTGTAATTGTGTTTTGAGTTTTGAGTTTTGATAGCATCTCCAACGGTGTACCAAATATTTCACCAAATCTGTGTAAAAAATGGGTCATTTCCTTAATTTGATACTTTGCGCTCCAACGGTTCAACATCAAATCCGTTTCATCAAATTTGCGCTGGGCAACCGGTTGGTTGACCGGCCGGTCGACCGGCCGGTCAACTGCATAAGGTCAAAAATACTTACATGAATGAAGGGTTGAACCAAGACTAGGAAGTTGGAAGAGGTTTTGCAACATTTGGAACTTTTTGAACTTTTGGTGGTCGGCCGGGTGGTCAACCGGCCGGTTGACCGGGTGGTCGACCACCTTGGCAAATTTTTTTTTTTTTTTTGGACTGGTTTGAACCTTTTTGTGAACGGTCTGAACTTTCTCCGGGGCGACCGGTTGGTTAACCGGTTGGTCAACCGGATGGTCGACCTGTTCGTCTCATCCCAACGATTAGGAACAGTGATTTGCTGAAATGCTTCGCCTGCACTCAGTTTGGTACCATTTTTGCTGAATTCTGGATTTGATATCGATTTGGTGAAACCGTTGGAGCGTGAAAAAGTGGGTTTTTCATCAAAATTTAAATCTGATGCTGGGTTTGGTTCACCGTTGGAGATGGTCTGAAAGGAGAAAATTTGGTTGATTTTGAGTTTTGAAAAGAGTTTTGAATTGTATTTTGAGTTTTGGGTTATATTTTGAGATTTTTTGGATTTTTTTTAAATATTTAAATTTGTTCTTAATTTTTTTTTGGGTAAATATTTTTTATTATAAATATTTATTTTTTAATATGTGTTGTATTTACTACATGTGTGCATTGTATTTTTTAAAAAATATTATAAATATTTAAAAAATTAAAATGAGTTGTATTTTTTTATTTTAAATATATAGTGTTTTAAAATAACTTTGTTTTAAAATATTTACTTTGAAATAATTTTGTTATAAAAAATACAAAAAAATGGACAAGTTCAAAATAGGGATCACCACCCATTATTAATGAAAAATATTATACAATTAAACTAGTTTATAAGTTATATATATATATATAATATAAAAAAAATTGGTGATAAATCTAATTTAGAAAGTGCCTAAAGCATTAGATCTAATGAATATTTTTTATTATTGAAAAATCTACGTTTTGTAAATTAGTTTGGTGAGAAATCCTATATGATATTTTGTTTCTAATTTTACCCCTTACTTTTTTTTATCTGTTTGACTTTTAGTTGACTATCTATTCAAATTTTTTACCCTATCTGTTCAACTTTTTTTTCCTACATGTTCAAATTATGTGGATTTCTCTATCCATCTGTTCAAGTTCTATGAGTTTTTCGTTGTTCTTATCTGTCAAAATAATATCTATTGAAATATATTATTTGTTTAATTTTTTATCTGCACAATATTTTTTATCTGTTCAATTATTATTTTTTATCTGTTCATTCCTCGTAATCTATATGTGTCATTAAATACAAGAAAATAACAAACAGTGCACCCCAAAAAAAAAATTTATCTGTGCAAATTAGAGAGAGGAGAGAGAAATTATTTATTCAACCAAACACACATATTAGATCAAAACAACGCCCCTGGATCAGATTAGACCCAACTAAACAAAGATACACAGATTACATGAATTATCAGTTTCCATTAAAGGTTCAACACACATTCACTCTAAAATTCTTTTATTTGTTCATTGATTGAAGAACACAAGACCTAATTAAATCTATTTGTCGAAAACAACAACAACAAAGAGAAAGAAAAATTCAGATCATCCTCATCAACAAGAAGAAGTAACCAAATTACCCAACAAAAAAAAAAAAAATCAAACCAAAAACAAATCTAAACAGATAACCACAATCACCACAAACGGAGAAATCTCTCTCATCACTTTTCTTTTTTAGATCTGACTTGTTTTCCCAATATATTGTTGGAAAATAATGAATTTTCAGCAACTTTAATACGAAATTAAAGTGGGACCCAACCGTCGGTTAAGGTGGGTCTTAGTGGTTTTATATTATCTTAAGTAAGAAGATTGCAATACAAAAATAATGAGCCGAAACCATTGAGTTGCGAATAAGAATTGTCTCATAAAATAGATAACAATAAAGTTGGATTTAGATTTAGACTTAGTGTTAGTTTGGACTGGGCCTAGACTTATATATTTGTGCATAAGGGTTTGGTCTTAGACTTTTGGACCTAGTCTTAAGCTTTTGGCTGGGTTGTGCTGGACTTAGTTTATGCATGTGTTTGAGATTAGGCTTGGATCGAGTTGTGACCCAACACCCGTATTCATTTTGCAACCCATTTAGTTTAATTCTCAAAACTTATGCATTATACACATATTATGATTTATATAATGGTTTTGAAGTTTTGAACTTTTGTAACTCTAGTCCTAATGGCTAGAGTTAATGACATTTGATGACTCCATTGATGTTAACCTTCGTGACTAAGACTCTCCCTTACAAGTATAAATATAGACTTTTCTCCTCAAACTTAGCAAATTGTTTTTGGAGAAGTTTTGTGATGGAAAATTAGATGGTGTATTTGAATAAAAAGTTTGAGATGTTTATTTGCACCAAAGAAAAATTTTCCTATCTTTTTTTGTTAGCATCTTCTTTGGTTATTGTTAGAGAGAGTGCATCCATTGTCAAGTTCGCCGAAACTATTCAGAAGGTGCTTCTGTATTAGTTAGTTTTGGCTGTCTGTCGTTGTATCTTGGGAGATAGACGTCAGTGTACCTCTAGTATCCATCAGGAGGCGGTGAATCTGTTTAAAAAAAACTGTCTAGTGCAGGCTTCAGTTTGTTTATTTTCTTATTATTTGTTCTTAAATTTGATAAGTTCTATTCCTTTAACATTTTGTTCTATTAGTAATGTAATGTAATCCATTCTTGTATTTTTAGTTGTGTCATTTATTATGTATTTCATCATTTTAATAAAAAATTATTTTGTCATTTCTATTTAATTTATTTTATATATTTTTGATGTATTATTATGAAAAAATACCAATAGATATGACTCCAAATCTATATTTATATAATACAAAGAACCATCATCACCAGATATGCATATAAACACATAGAGATCGGACCACCAAACAAGCATCTAATATCGGTAGAGTCGATGATGACAATGGCGACAATAATCGAAGCGCCTCTGGTGACGATGAAAGGCCGAATCGATGGTTCGATCTCAATCCCGATGATGAGACAGCAACGATGGACTGGCAGAGGCGGAGGCGAGACAACAACGATGGACTCACAAAGACGAAGGTGAGACGACAACAGTAGACTGGTGGAGGTGGAGGTGGATGTGGAGGTGGAGGTGAAGTGGATTTGGCAACAATGAAAGGTCGAATCGATCAAGACTTCAACAGCGGACTTGCGGAGGATTTCGATCCCAATGGTGAGAGGATGACGATGTACTTGCAAAGGCGGGGGTGAAGAAGAGAAAGAGAGAGCGCAATCGGAGGCGACAGTGGACTCGCGGAGGCGAAGGTGAGAAGGTGAGAGAGAGAGAGAGAGAGAGAGAGATAGAGAGAGATTCCTTATAGACAACATAAACACTGTTTGGTAGGGTTTTTTTTAAGTTAAAAATTGATAATTAGGAAGCAGAAGTTAAAAGCACCCCTATCCTAACTTTCAAATAATTAGTTTTTTTCAATTTATTTAAGCTATTACTGCCTAATAAGCTATAAGCAGAAGCTGCACCAAACAGTCTGACACAGACTCTCAAATCAAAATAAGTTATAATCACCCCAAAAGCTGTAACAAACAATTCTATAGTTTAGAGCATGAACCTATAGTTCTAACAAATTTAAATTTGGAGTTTTGAACCGAGCGCCCTAATATATATACAAATTAGGGTAAATTACAAATACACTCTATGAGATTTGATTAAAATGCAAATCGTCCCCTGTGATTCTGGAAATTGCATTCCACCCTTTAAAGTTTATAATTTCATAACAAATCGTCTATTTTATTAATAAATTATCAAGTCAATTAACGGTTTTTAATGATGTTATAAATATGTTTCAATTAATAATTTAAGTAATTTTATTATTGTATAAGAGAACAATTATGAATTTCTTTTTTTAAAATTACACTCTATGAGATTTGATTAAAATGCAAATCGTCCCCTGTGATTCTGGAAATTGCATTCTACCCTTTAAAGTTTATAATTTCATAACAAATCGTCTATTTTATTAATAAATTATCAAGTCAATTAACGGTTTTTAATGATGTTATAAATATGTTTTAATTAATAATTTAAGTAATTTTATTATTGTATAGGAGAACAATTATGAATTTCTTTTTTAAAAATTAATTATGTTAAATAAAATTTTTTAACAAGAGGATATTTATAATTTTTCAAACTAAATAGGAGAATCTGTACTTTAAGTAAACTTCAGGTGTATTTGTAATTTACCCTATAAATTAATTTGATGTACAGAAATAAAATTTTAATATTTAAAATAAATAAACTAAAATTAAATAATTGAAATAACTAAAAAATAATTGAAATTTGCATTAATCATTAAAGAGATTAGGGAGGGAAAGGAGAGGAAAAGGTTACCCGAGAGGCGTGAATCGCAGGCGAAGAGAGAGAAAGAGTCCCAGAGATCCCTCTCTGGTTCAACGGAGAATTCATAGATCTCTCTCGCCACCAATGGGTCTTTGGGAAGCTCTTCTCAATTGGCTTCGAAGGTTTGCTCTCCTCTCTCTCTAGATATATATATATATATATATACATATTGTTCTCTATGTCGTGTTTCAATTTGATATCTCATATCTGCACATACATATGTTTGCTTCTAATCTGTATGAATCCCTACATAAGCATTTCAAGCAACCGATTCTGATTCTAATGAAAGCTTTATGTCTTCTTCTTCCCTGTTTGCTTTTTGACATAATAAAGATATATGCTTAAAACTGCGAAGGTTAATGAATTATTGCTTCTTTTTTTTTTCTTTCCAAATTAGATTGATTATGTTTTTTCATCAGCGAATTTACAAGCCCTTCTTCTTTTGTATTACGGTTTTTGATTTTTGTTTATGCAAATTTCAGATCTTATACGGTGAATTATTTCATGGTTCGAGTTCTTTTTTTCCTTCTTTTCTATTCATTTAATTGAATTACGTTATTGCAAAGTGAGATAGATTATGTGCTATAGCTCTGGTTAGGGTTTCTATTGAGTTTGTGAATGTATGCATGTGTGAATATTTCAGCTTGCTGGCTTTTTCTCAGTGTGGTATTGTATGTGTTGCTGGATTATACCGGCATAATAGTTTAAGAGGGAAAGAAGTGCAGTGGGAATTTAGCACCGTCCTTTTTAGGTGCTACCTTGGTTATGCATTTGCTTCGACATGGATATAACAAACTAGAAGAGTTAGAAGCAAGTGTACAAGAAACAAAAAGCATTAGTTCAGTTCGCCACAGGATTTGGTATCTTTTATAGTAACTACTAGATGTTTAAGCTCAATGAAATGGCAGTATTTGCTGAATATCATGGAATTCCACACATGAAGAGAACATTTTAGGGCCTATTTTGCATCATTTTTTCCTTTGTGTTTTTTGAAAACAAAAATGATAGCAAAACACGTTGAAAACACAATTTTTTTGGGTATCATTTTCATTTTGTGCATCTGAATTTTTGAAAACTCATAAAACAATTCAAAATTGTTTTTTAACATGGGGGTTTTTAGAAAATTTTCTTAAAAACAATTTATTAAAACGCATTTTCTCTATTGTTGTAATTTAGTTTGGGTTTTGAGAATAGAAAGAGTTTAAAGATGATGGAAAATGGGTTGTTAAAGCCAAAGGGGCATTTCTTGGTGCAATGGTAAAAACTCGGATTGCCAAGCGTGAGAGAATGCAAGATTGTGCTTGGGAGCAAGCACTAATAGCATCATTGACTAATGAAGACCAACATTGGGTAATGCCCCTTAGCAAATGGGCTATTAGGCCTATTTGGTGTAGCTTCTAGCAAGCTAAAAGTTGATAATCAGAAAGCAGAAACTAAAAGCACCTCTTTATTCTGCTTCTCAATAATAAGCTTTTTCCAGCTTATCTAAGCTATTTCTACCTAATAAGCTTTAAGCAGAAGTTGCATCACATAATTTGGCAAAATAAAAATGCTATAAGCAGTTCTATAAGCTGCACTAACCACCGTCATTAAGTTTTGAATAACACCACTTAGGAGCTTTTTGTGGGTATAATCTTTTCACTTTTGTATCTACTCTATGTTGGAGATTAAAAGTATTATCCAAAAAACATGAGGAAGTTAAGAGCTTTATGCATTGATTGGCATTGTTTAATACAAGTAACATAAGGTGTGCTTCACTTTTATAGAAGAAGAAAAAAAAAACACGAAATGCATGTTGCTGCCATTTTGATTGGATTAAGAACACCAAAGTTATGTATAAACCCATTGATTTAAAATAAGGAAAAGATGAAGGATCTCAAAACAAGGAAATGCTCTTTCAAATATGTTCATATTGATATGAGAACAAGAACTATTGATTCTGTTTGGTTGTTTGTTTAATTTGATAAAAATAGTCCTGGAGATGTTAACTTCTGACAATACAAACATAGTTTAGTAGTGGACTTCTAGAAGTGGCCACATGCAGCATTCAGAGAGGAAAGTTTGAATACTCTTGGCGACTGGTCTGTGAAATGACATCTTGAGAAATTCTTCATGGAACGTTTCAATATTTTATCCTTTGTTATTCAATATTATTAGGCATGATATTTTCATTTTTCTAATTGATATGGCATTCTTACTTTAGTATAATAGTTTGTTGCATGCATGAGCTCATGTTATTGTTTTTATGTTTGCAGCCTCTTTTTCAAGCAGGAAATGGAGCTTTCTTTGATTGGGCTTCAGAATGCTGGAAAAACTTCACTTGTAAATGTTGTTGCTGTAAGTGAATAAGTTTTGATTAGTCTGCAATGTTTTCTTTTCATCCCTTCAACCTTTTGGGACCTAATTCTGATGCATTTGTAACTGGCTGCTTGTTCTTGCTCATAGACTGGTGGATATAGTGAAGACATGATCCCTACGGTGAGTTCTTTTGCTCTTATTTTGAGTGACAGAGAATCTGCTCCCAACTTTTCTTTGTTCCTTCTTCATTAGCAAATTGTTCACTTGTTACTTCATTTTATGGGTAAATAATTATCCACACATTGTATTCAATTTTGTGTTCAGGTGGGATTCAATATGAAGAAAGTAACTAAGGGGAATGTTACAATAAAGTTGTGGGATCTTGGAGGTCAACCCAGGTTTCGTAGCATGTGGGAGAGATACTGTCGTGCAGTCTCCGCTATTGTGTATGAAACAGTTCTCCATCTCATTTGACTTACAGTTTGGCCCGACTTAAATGTCTATTGGATTTTTTATTGCAGTCTCAATAAAAGGATATATATATAGATATATATAGATATATTACGATGCACAAACACGTTACAATAAAGTTGTGGGATCTTGGAGGTCAACCCAGGTTTCGTAGCATGTGGGAGAGATACTGTCGTGCAGTCTCCGCTATTGTGTATGAAACAGTTCTCCATCTCATTTGACTTACAGTTTGGCCCGACTTAAATGTCTATTGGATTTTTTATTGCAGTCTCAATAAAAGGAGATATATATATATATATAGATATATTAAGAAGCGCAAACACTTCTAAGAAGGTGGCATTTTTATGTTGGACACATGTTCAAAGGTGTCCTCTTATCTTTTATTTTTTATTTTTAAATCAAGACATGTTTCAAACACTTACACTACGCTTGGTTCATTGAAACGAGCTGGGATGGAATAGTCATTCCATCAAAATGTCCATTCTTATGTTTGGTTTCACTAAAAAAGTTATGAAAAATACATTGCAAATGGAATCATAAGGACGTTAAGGAATGAACTGGAATGGAATGATTATTCCATCAGAATAGTCATTCCATAAGGAGGCTAAGGAATAGCCATTCCATTCCAATTTACCTTCATCCCAATGAACCGAATACTACCTTAGGGAATACACATTTCCATCACTTAGACACATATAAAACACATTACTTGTTTGAACAAAATAACTTAGGATTCAATTATAGAGCTCCGCAGTTATAGGAGAGTAATGTTCCCAGTAAGGAAACAAGTTGGGCCACGCCGGCGGATTTTGTTTCTTGTTGGCCGGTCGTTTGAGTTTGAGAAGTCCGATGGAGCAGATGGGAAGTGCGGGTTATCGATTGTTGAGAGGGGGGAGGGGTTACGACGGGTGGTGGTGCTGAATGTTTCGGAAGTTCGTTGGTTGGTGGTCAGGATGAGGTTAGCATCTAAGGAACCTAGCAGCCTACAATTTTGGGGGCGGCTCAGTGGGGGTAGTCGGACTACAGCAATCTGGGTACGAGGTGAGGAAGGTGGGGGGACATCTTTTCAAATTGTGGTCACTACAGGGCAGAGACGTGAACAAGTTACATACCTGTCTGCGTTCGGTGATGGCTGGGAAAGGGTGGCATTGGTTGTCGATGGCTTTGGTTTGTGCGTTGCAAAGGCCTCCCGACCCATTGGATTCAGGAAGTTTTCATCAACTTCTGCCGTCGAATGTGAGTCCGTAGGGGTTGTTCGCTCTGAGGTGGAGGTGGATTGGTTTTGAATCTTGGATAGGTCGCTAGTGGGTAAAATGGGGGGTTTGGGGGGAAAAGGCTTGAGTTTCACGACCATTTATGATTGGGTTGAACGGTGGTGGAAACATTCGGGGAAGGTGGATGTACGACCTTTGGGGGATAAAGCCTTTTTGTTCGTTTTGTCAAGCAGAAGTGAGGCGGAAGCACTGTTGCGTCGGCGGTGGACAGTGGAAGGGTGTGATTTATTGTTGGGGTGGTGGTCACCACTAGCTCTCTGTACTCCGGAAAAGACTTCGCGGCTTGAGAAGAGTGTGTGGATTCGGTTGATGGGTCTGCCTATTCATCTCCGTGGGGAGGCGGTGTTTCGTTTCATCAGCGATCATTGTGGTGGCTTCATTGAGGCGGATGAGTCGTCGGTGGACCTAGGTTCCATTCGGATTCGTGTGCGATGCTCAGAGTTTACACCTTCGCGATTGTCCTTCCGATGGGGGATGTGGCAGTTTTCACTGCCAGTTTGGGTAGAAGCCGATCCGGTGGTGGAACTGTGGACGCCGGCGCCCGTGAAAGATCGGGATTCTGTGCCGATTATGGAATCGACGGTTCTTAGCGTCTTCTCATAGTGTTTCTTGGTTACAAAGTCATCTTTCTCTAGTTTTGTATAATTGGTTGGAGGGTAGGGTAGATCCGGATCTATTTGTGTTTTTAGATTTTCTAGATGAGGTGATTGGTTAGTCCTTGTTTTATTGGTTCCCTTTCTGGGTGGTTTTCTTGTATTGGTTGCATCGTCTTGATGCTTTCTTAATAATATTTGCTTATTTATCAAAAAAAAAAAAAAACTTAGGATTCAATGATAAAAGAAAAATAATGTAGATTTATATATAATTAATCCCTCCTTTAAATTTGTGGGAAACTAATGTTATGTTTTTTCTTTTAGTTTTCTTTTTTAAATTTTTTATAAATATATATTGAATTAAAAGTTCTTTTCTTATATATATATATATATAATAAATCTATAAAATTATAAATTTTATGTGTCCCCCACCTGTCATGTTTTGCATTTTTTTAGAAGTGTCTTGTGGGCAGGTCTATGTTGTGTCACGTGTCCGCGTCTTTGCTTCTTAGACTATAGACACAATATATAAATTTGTTAATGCGCATTTCATGTTCCATGCTGTCAGAGATTATACACCATGTTCATTGTTAAGGCCTCCTAGTAGCTGTACTATGGAACTTTTGAATTTGACAAGTGACATTGCATTTAGGTTGGATATTCATATATGTAGTTTCTTGGACAATTGTGCTTTTCTATATTAAGTTCTCATTGGGCCATTGTAGATACAAAATTGTGACATTTTACTGTAGCATTCATGTATATATGAGTTCTACAAGAATGTTTGATATTGAAAAGTTCCTTGGTTGATGGCTTGCATTAGCTACTGAACTTGCCTGATATTCTTAAGCTAATTTTTTGATTTTCTCCAAATTATTATTTTTTTTTTTGACAATAAAATATATCAATTTCTAAGGCTGTTCCTGTTGTGAAAATTAAATTATTGATGCAACATAAATATAATTCAATTAGATTTTTATGGATGAGAAATGTGACTTAAACAGTAGTGACCTAATTAGATGACCAACCTAAGGTAGTGCCTGTCATGAAGTTGCCCAACATATATTCTTCAAAATGGGATTGTTCAAGATTCAAGAACTTATTAGTACTGTGAGCACGAGTTTCTGTAGGTTTGGCCTGGCTTCAGCTTTAGCCCTTAAGGGAAAAATCAACTTCTCACTCGATTTTTAGCTCTTTGACTAAGTTTGTTGCTATTTGACTAATTTCTTTCTCATGTTTATGAGACTGCCATTATATTGTGATGAGCTTCTTGCATTCTCAAGTCTTTAAGCTCCAAAAAATTCCTAATAAAGTATTTTTTGTGTGTACATGGCCTCAAATATTAACCAGAATATTTCATTTAGTTGAGCTAATTTGTGCGGTTGGCTCTCCTTGCATAAACCCAAACAAATGGACTGGTTTTTTTAAGTTTTTAAACTACTGATCAATAGGTTAATTAGAATTACTGTTTGTGCTTAATAAATATACCTTTAAAAAATCTATCATTGAGGTCTTAACTTGTGAAGCTTTGCTTTGGTTTGGTGGAAATAATATTATTGTTATGAGTACTTGACTAGTTCTCTGAACTTTTTTTTCTCTTGCAGTTATGTTGTTGATGCTGCCGATCATGACAACCTCAGCATCTCAAGAAGTGAACTTCATGATCTGCTAAGCAAACCATCACTGAGTGGTATTCCATTGTTGGTGTTAGGCAACAAGATCGACAAGCCTGGTGCTCTCTCTAAGGAGGCATTGACTGAACAGATGTAAGCGGTCGCAGTGTCACCAACTTTTTCATCATTCTTAGTTGTTGATATCTTCGGACCTATTTGGTTATGTTTTTGTATTCTTTGTTTTCATTTTTGGGAGTACTCATCATTTTCAGCAAAAACAGATATCAAAGTTTTTTTTTTTCTCCCCCCTTTTATTTTCTTAAAAAAAGTCTGGTTGTTTTCAGTAAATTTGTCCGAAACATTTTTGGGAAACAGTTTGCCAAAACAAGTTTTCTATATTTTCCAGAAAACGAAAACTCAACCATATTATAATAATGGGTGTATTGTGCAGGGGACTCCAATCCATCACTGATAGAGAGGTATGCTGCTATATGATCTCATGCAAAAACTCAACGAACATCGATTCAGTTATTGATTGGCTCATCAAGCATTCCAAGTCAAAGAGCTGAGGAAAGGTTCATTTCTTGTGTTTTGGTTTTGGTTTTGGTTTTGGATATGCATTTGCCAAAATTTCTATCAAACGGATATTCTTGGGTGGTGGTTGGTGAGATGTGCTTGTCTTTTATCTTGGTTGCTAATTGTGTGTTGTCAGCAGTTTCAAGTTGCTATGTATTGTTGTTACTATTGTATATTAAATTATTTGTCTAATGGAGATAGAATTTGTATGGGGGTTTCCATGTTTTTGATCTCTCTCTCTCTCTCTCTCTCTCTGGCATTCCAAGTTCATAGCAAGTGATCTGATGTTATGAATTGCATTTCCCTCTGTAAATCTGGAGATGAGTCTTTGATTGTGCGCTTAGGAAAATGCAATTATATTTGTAAAATAGTCCCGGAAGGTGATCTGATTTTATCTTATATGATTGAGTTAGAAAAATAGAAGAAAATGAATATATATTTGTTAAAATAATATTTTTATGTTTTGTTACTTGTAAAAAATGAGTATGCATAAGTAACTATATTTTCATTATTTTCTTTTCTGTTTTAATGAATATGAGATTTTCTTTTATGTTTTAAAATGAAGTGTAACGTACACTGACACCTCTTAAAATTTTTGTTTAATATAGATTTTTCCTCACATTTGAAAAATTATACTTACCTCCTATCATATTAAATGATATATTTGTTCCTTAATCTTTATACATGTAAAATAATGTAAATATTTTGTTCATGTCATTTTAAGATAAATAACAATCATCTTTTTTAGTTTAACTCACACAAAAAATTGAGTTTTATTTTTATTTATTTTATTTTTACTGATTTTTTTAAAAATATTTTAAGTAGTTTTTTATTTTTTAGATACACTAATTTTGGTATACTTAACAAGTATAGTATTTTGTGATTTTTTTTTTAATTCACCAGATACAAAAAAATACAAAAAATATATACACTCAATATATTATCTTATTTTGTTGTATTTAATGAATTTTTTTAAAAAAATTTTGTACAAATTTTATACTTTTTAAATATATAGATTAAATTGATTTAATCTAGATATAATGGTGGAAATAAAAATAAAAAATTATATTCATATATAAAAAAATTTACAAAAAATATTGTAAAAATGTTGTGACAGTGATATTGTTATGAATTTAAATCATGTTTATGGGTGTTTTGTTTTAAAGTAAAAGATTATCATTAATCATGTCATTGTATTTGAAAATTCTATATAAAATTTATGTTTGTATATCATCACTTAATAAAAATATATTCAGATAGAATTTAATGATGAGAAGTTGTATAATGTAGTAATGATGATAGAAAAAAGAAATGGTAAGAAAAAAGGACAAGATGGTCATTTAGAATATTTTGAAACTTGATATCAGCAATTCAGGAGTAATTTGTAATGAAATTACAAATTTTATGAAGGAAAATATAATTTTTAAAATGAAATTTCAGAGCTCTAAATTAAGAGCTCTAATGGAGCTCTAGGGCGGTGGGCTTAGCTGATGTGATGTTTTGGTATTATTATTATTATTATTTTTTCTATTGCCATATAGAGTTCTCTTTAGAGTTCTATTTTTAGGCGAATGAATCATTGTCCTTAATGAATATGAGATTCAAACGCATACTTAACACCGAAATGGCCGTTAAATCTTTGTCACACCACAAAACGGGTATAATGGATATTGTTTGCCACCGCAGCCATTACACAACAGCCGCAACCGTTACATAATACCGCTTTTAAAACCTTACTCATAATCCGTAATAATATATATCAAACTTTTGTTATTTTAAAGTAGATTTATTGATATGAGTTATTTTAAACTTATTTTTAAATTAAAATTATTGTTTGAAGTCGTTTTGTTATATAATAATTTTGTAATAAATTAATTAATAAATCATATCTTAAAAATGCAATTAAAAAGAAAAAAATGGTACCTAGAGCTCGTTTGGAAAAGAGGGTTTGGGATTTTTTTGGTTAAAATAGTCACAAACAAATAAAATAGATTTTTTAATCCAATAAGACAAACTATCACATCTAACCCAAAATTATTTCTTTTTTTTTTCACAAAAAAGTCAAAAAATCATTCTCAAACGAGGCTTTTTAACCCCAGGCTAAAATAGTTAAAAAACCAACCTACTTCCCAAACGAACTCTAGATAAAACACGGTTCTAGTTGGCGCTTTAAAAACCTGCAATTATAGTTACTACGAAACGAAGAAATCACTCACTCACTCACTCACTCACACTATGTTTGGATTGAGTGATTTGGAGAGAAAAGAAAAGAAATTGAGAGATATGTATTTCTCTTATTTGTTTAAATAATTTAAGTGGAGAGAAATTAAAAGAAATAAAGAGAAACGGAGAGAAACTCATTTATCTTATAACCCTTATTTTCAATCTTTCCAAAAGTGGAGAGATTGGGAGAAAAAAGAAACCAATATTTTCATAATACCAATTTTGTTCCTATAAAAATAAAAAAATAAAATGATTGACAATATAAAACAGTTATTTTAGTAATATAACATAAAATAATTTATTTTCTTTTTTCTTATGAAATTTAACCAAACAAGAAGAAGATAAATCATAATCATTTTTTTCTCCTTTTATTTCTTACTTATCTAAATAAAAATAAAAAAAATCACAATTATATTTTTTCTTTTCTTTCATAAGTTTCCAAACATAGTGTCACTCTCACCATGGAAACAGTTTTCAACTGGACCTCGTCGTCCTCGCCTTCCCACTCCTCCAATAACAACCCAACCAAACACCGACAAAATCAAGCAAAAGCTCCTCCACAAAGGCATCTACCCAACCCCCAAAATCATCCACACCCTCTGCATAAAAATGAGTATGAGATTCAAACAAGTACTTAACAACGAAGCGGCCATTAAATTTTTGTCACACTATGAAAGCAGGTATAAGACCATCTCCAACGGTTTACCAAAACTGATATCAAATTCAAATTTTGATGAAAAAACTGCTGTTCACTGCTCCAACGGTTGCACCAAATGAATATCAGATTGAGATTTTATCAAAAAATTTATCAAACTGACGACGAAATACTGATTTCACCAAAACACTATTGGTGACCGTTAGAGGGAGACCAACCGGTCGACCAGCCGGTTGTCCGGCCGGTTGACCAACCGGTCGACCAGTAAAAGATTCAAACAGCTCAGAAAAAAGTTCAAACCGTAAAAAAAAAAAAAATAAAAAATAAAAAATTTGCCTAACCGGTCAACCGGCCGGTCGACCACCCGGTTGTCCTGAAAAAAGTTCAGAAAGTTCAAAAAAAAGTTCAGACAATTCGCGGAAAAAAAAAAAATTTTTTTTTTTTGCCTAACCGGTCAACCAGCCGGTCGACCACTCGGTTGTCCCGGGATAGATTTGGTGAAATGTGAACCGTTGGAGTGAGTGGTATCAAATTTGGCAAAATAAGTCATTTTTGACTCAAATTTAATGAAAAATTTGAATCACCGTTGGAGATGCTCTAACGAGTAACGCTTGCCACCATAAATGTTACTTAATAGTCACAATCGTTACTAACATCGCTTTTTAAAACCATCCTCATAATACTTAAATAATATATATCAAACTCGTATTATTTTGAAGTCGATTTATTAAAAATGAGTTATTTTAAACGCATTTTTAAATTAAAATTATTGTTTTAAGTCGCTTAAAAAAAAAAAAAATTGTAATAAATTAATTACTAATAAATCATAACTTAAAAATGCAATTAAAAAAAGTGGCTATTGATGATAACACACGGTCCCAGTTGGGGCTTCAAAATCCTGCAATTCCAGTTACTAACGAAACGAAGAAATCACTCACTCACTCTCACCATGGAAACAGCTTCAACTGGACCTCCTCGTCCTCGCCTTCCCACTCCTCCAACAACAACCCAACCAAACACCGACAAAATCAAGCAAAAGCTCCTCCACAAGGGCGTCTACCCAACCCCCAAAATCATCCACACCCTCCGCAAAAAACACCTCCAAAAATCTCTCCGCAAATCAAACCGCCGTCTCGCCTCCCAATCCCAATCCCAACCTCCCCTCACCGACTCCCAGAAACAATCCATCGCCGAAGAATCCCATTTCCAAACGCTAAAGGCCGAATACAAAAACTTCACCAAATCGATATCTGCGAAAACCAGAGACGACGATGGTGTTCTTCCGATGGTGGGGAAGCCTTGGGAGAGGCTCGAGAGGGTTCAATTCAGAGAGCTTTCGAGTTCGAGTAGAGAGTATTGTGGCGATAAGCTCAAGTCTCAGCCCTTGAGAGAACTGAGTGAAATTCTCCAAAAGGGGTGGCTTTTGGACAACGATGTTGTATTCGAACAAGGTTCGTTGAAGGGTGAAAGGAAAATTTGGGCCCCGCCGAAGCGCAGCGAGGCGGAAGCGATTCGGTTTCTTGTTGATAAGTTTGTGTTCTTCATCTTTTCAATTTCTATGATTCATGATTTGTGTATATATGGGTATGTATGTATATGTGTGTCTGTTTGTTTTCATGTAGGCTTAGTGGTATGGAGCTTAGTATGAAGGACTGGAAGCTTTCATGGATGATGAAGAAGTCAGGGCTACAGTTTACTGAGGGTCAGTTGCTAAAGATTGTTGAAGGACTTGGTGATAAAGGACAGTGGAGACATGCATTGTCTGTTGTGGAGTGGGTGTATAGCTCCAAAGAACATAGACATTACAAGAGCAGGTAAATTTGTTTGTGTTTATTTAGTTTTATGCTTGATGATTTGCGCTTTAGTTGGAGGAAGGTCTGGTTGAACATGAAGCTGTATGCCTTCATTTGATAATGGAATCGAAAATCATCTTAAAATGCCATATAGTTGGGTTTTTTTTTACAAGGAATCAGTTCTAACTTAGTTGAGTTTTAAGATCACCATTGTTAAGAATCTGCTAATTATTGATGGTGTGAAATGTAAAAAGTATTGGAAACTGAAACAAATTCGAATTACAATGAGTATAAACATTAGTCATGAGCCTTGAATTGATGTTCACAGTGCAGTGTAATCTATGAACTTGTATGTGCTTGTCAAAAAAATGGTTATCTTCACAATTATGTGTTGTTTAGAGGAGCTGAACATCAGTGATTTGGTTTTGACAATGTTACTTCTCTGACAAACATTGTAATCTATTTTAATTGTGTAGTTCTAATGTTAGTCAGTTGTGTGAAATTTTACTATTTTCACCTGTGTTTCTATGAGCAAAACTATTGTCTATGTTTATTTATATATTTATTGTAGGTTTGTATACACAAAACTATTGGCAGTTCTTGGGAAAGCAAGGAGACCTCGTGAAGCTCTTCAAATCTTTGATTTGATGCGTGTAATGATCAAAAACTTTACCTACTTAATGCTTATAAAACAATTATGTAGTTCATATGTTAAGGTTTATCTTTAAAATTTTAGGTGATATTGTTGGATGGATTCTAACTGCAAGTTATTTAGGAAGATTGCCAAATATATCCTGATATGCCTGCATACCACAGTGCCGCTGTTACACTTGGTCAAGCTGGTTTTCTGAAAGAACTACTGAAAATTATTGAATGCATGGGGGAGAAACCTGCTAAAAGAATAAAAAATATGCGCCACAGGAACTGGGACCCTATTCTTCAACCTGATGTGGTTGTGTTTAATGCTGTAAGAGAACATTACTTTGTTACAGCCAATTAAGTTTTCCTCACTTACATCCATCTGCAAATTGGCTTAACTTCTTGATTATTTCCAATTGGTGGTTAGGTACTGAATGCTTGTGTTCCAACCCATCAGTGGAAAGGTGTATCTTGGGTGTTTGGGCAGTTGAGAAAGAATGGCCTAAAACCTAATGGAGCAACTTATGGACTTGCAATGGAGGTAGTCGCTGGATCTTGAAGTACCTAAAAATCATGGATTCAAACACAGGCATGGGATTGGACATGTTAATGGGTATGGACACAGGACACAACAATTTTCAAAAAAATTAAGGAAAAAAAACCCACAAAAATGTCTTGAGCATAGGACGCACATGTCTGTGAAGTGTCCCCAACGTGTCCTGCAAAAAAAATTATTAAATAGTGATACACGTGGACATGTGTGTTCGCACCATGTCTGTGTTCGACATGTATTAGACATAGACACGGACACAACACTTATTTCGGTGTGTCCGTGCTTCCTAGATTGGCACAATATGTTTTATTGCCTAGGCACAATATGTTTTATGCCTGGTTTTTTGTCTCAAATGATATCGTTAACCGGTGCAATTTAACTGGTGCAATTTAATTTCTTTACAAATATGAAGAGTAAAAGACACATTATAGGTGTTATATGCTTGCTGATTTTGTTTTTGCTATCAATAAATAGATTTAGCAGAAACAGTAGAAATATTGAAAGCTGAGGACAATTAGAGTGGCTATGTTTTCAAATTCGAGGCTCATGCTTTTTCTTTGGATGGAAGTATAGGTGTGTCACGCTGATCTGTTCTTTATCTTCATTTCAGCGACTCACTTTAGTTGTAAGAGAATAGTTAAAATACAAAGGGTGAGCATTGGATTTGTGTGTCAACTGCATTCCAACAATTCAATTCATCTTGGTTTTGAGACTGTTTTTACACCCAAGCTCTATTCCAGACTTGAGACCTGGAAAGCTCACAAAGGGTGCGGTTGATGTTTTATCATGCCTGATCTGTCCCTTGACCCTTGAGTCACTTGCATCTCTTTGCAATCTGCTCATTCCCTGGAACACGAAATTTCTGCTTAGTTGAAAACTTGGCTACCTTTGTGACTATGGATGTCAAGGTCAAATATTGGGTCCGTCTTGAGGTCTTTGCGGCTTTTATAAAGAGGCCTAATGTGCTTTGACCAATATATGAATATATGCCATATGCTTTAAAGAAAAGGAAACACAGGACTGCAGGTTAATTTGCACTAAATGTAAAATATAGGCACTTAGGCACTTACAGAATTTGTTGTGGATTCCTTGAGTAAATCATGCAAGTTGAAGTGTAATAGAATGATTTCTAATACCTTCAAAGTTGTTAACACAGAAAACTGGGTATTTATATGATTTTGACATCTGGGTTAATTCATGGTACTAATTGAATCAGTCACATATTACTTTCAAATCTTTTCTAAACCATTTTATACTTCTATGAATATGGGTTTCCAGTTTAAGTGGAACAGAGTAATCTTCATTGAATTAAGTTATTTAGCTTCAAATTATATTGGTAATCAAGACTTACAGGACATGCTTTTTGTAAGGTAATGCTACGATCCGGAAAGTATGATCGTGTACACGAGTTCTTTGAAAAAATGAGAAGAAGTGGGGAAGCTCCAAAAGCGCTTACTTACAAAGGTATTACTGGTCTAACCTTTACTGTTGAGGACACTGATGTTTGGTGGCTTACACATCCATTGCCTGCAACTTTCCAGTTCTGGTCAGAGCCTTTTGGGAGGAAGGTAAAGTTGATGAAGCTGTTAAAGTAGTCAGGGACATGGAACAAAGGGGAGTGTTTGGGATAGCCTGTGTATATTATGAGCTTGCTTGCTGCCTTTGCAACAATGGGAGGTGGCAAGAAGCTATGCTGGAGGTTAGTTCCCTTGTCTGTAGTTTCATTATCTCTGGTTTTAAATTTCTTAGAGATGTTATATTTAATTTTGAATAAAAAAAATCAATTTTTCATGCGTCATGTTTACACATTGTTAATTTAAACAGAAAATGTCACTTTTCACTTTGGCATAGACCTCAAGGGAGTTTAGTGTCATAATCACAAATCAAGCTTTAGGGGGGCATCACATTTTTTGGCCTAACCGCAAGGGTTACCCTTTTGTATTTTGATAGCTTATGCTGTTCAAAATTTATGCATAGTTGTATGGTTAATTTGAATTACTAAATATGCTTGCTGGGTGAATGCCTAACTACAAATGTTGGACGCATGTCAATTCCATACCTTTATCCAAGTGTCGAGTGTTCTACATAGGTGCTTCATACATTTAAAAGAGTCCACATAACATAGGTTGATAGCATTTGTATGTATCTAATTTGTTTGTGTACTCCATCTCCCTAGTATGTCAAATCCAATGCATTCAGTTATGTGTCTGATACTGCAGGCTCTTGGCACTTACGGTTTGCTCCATGAATGCACATGTCTGACATTTATCTTTATTTAGTAAATATCGTGGAATGACTGTTGTGTTACTCTTTTATGCCGCACCTGGATAAAATTGACCATGGAGTGTTGTAGCCATGCCATAGTAAAGGGGTTAATGTTTTAGATTCATGTTAGACATAAGAATAGAATGTAATATAAAATAAGGTCATTAGTTAGTGTCAATCATGTAATCATGCCAGTCTGGTGAATTTATTATGTATGGTACATGAGGAAAATTAATAATTCTAAAAACTGTACCTACAGGTTGAAAAGCTAAAAAAGCTTCCTCGTACTAAGCCTTTGGAGGTTACCTTCACTGGCATGATAATGTCTTCTATGGATGGTGGATGTGTCCACGACTGCATCTCTATTTTTCAACACATTAAAGACCATTTTGTGCTTGACATTGGCATCATAAATGCCATACTCAAAGTTCATGGCAGGAATGATATGTTTTCAGAAGCAAAACAGTTATTTGAAGATATCAAGAGAGCTAAATCTGATTCTAACCATAGCTTGGATGGTTTTGGTTCTTCCCTTATCCCAGATGCATACACTTACAGCACAATGCTTGAGACTTCTGCTAGTGCTCTCCAATGGGAGTACTTTGAGTATGTCTACAGGGAGATGGCTCTCTCTGGGTATCAACTTGATCATAGTAAACACACATCCCTGCTTGTCGAAGCCTCCAGAGCTGGGAAGGTATACTTTAAGCTACTACCTTTCTATTAAAAAGTAATTTTCTAATCTTATATAGTTATATTAATTCTTCTTTGCAACTGTGATAATTACATCTGATGGGAATGATTTTTCAGTAGTTTATACTCCAACAACAAAGTGATAGTGGCTGTGTTTTCTCTGGCTGTTTATCTGATTTCAGATACTTCATATACAGACTACAAAATTTCCATTGCCATTTTGTTTTCTCCTTTGTATAACCAAAAGTTACATTTTCTCCAAGCGCAAGATGGTCGTTGCTAGCTACTTTTGTGCATTATTTTTCACATAAATTTGATAGTGTGCAATTTTAGTGCTTGGCTTTCTTTTCTTTACGTACTTTGTGTACTGGTGTGCCTGTGTTGTTCCTGATGTTCGAGGCAAGGAGTGTGATCATTGGATTAGTTTCTTTGAGCCTTTAGTGGTTCTTTTGAGCTACTGATCATAACTCAATGCGAGACAAGAAATTTCATTTTGGATTCATAAAATTGGTGTGTTCCGCCTCCGTTTGGGAAGTGGGTTGGCTTTTTGGTTTTTTTGGCTATTTGAGCTTGGGCTCAAAAGCTTGGTTTGGAAAGGGCTTTTTGACTTTTTGGCTTTTTTGACTTTTTTTGTGAGAGAATAGTGTAATGATTATGGATTGGATGTGATGTTTTGTCTGTTGTGGCTCAAATAGCCTATTCTGTCTTTTGTGGCTCAAAGAGCCAAAAGAGCCGAATGAGCTCTTCCCAAACGACACCTCCAACTGCTCAAAGGAAGATGCTGACTAAAAAGCTAGATTATTCTATTTTTGTGTTATCAATTCTGTGCCTTGCTAGCTGTAGCGCTGTTTTAGATGTTACTGAATATCTCTCTCATGGCAGATTTAGTTTAAAAAAATTCTACCTTTAAACCCTTTTGTTTTTGTTGCAGTTTTATTTGTTGGAACATGCATTTGACACCATGTTGGAAGCTGGTGAAATACCTCATCCATCTGTGTTTACTGAATTGATATGTCAAGCAATAATTCAACATGATTTTGAACGAGTCGTCGGCATAATCAACGCTATGGCTCATGCTCCATTTCAAGTTAGCGAAAAGCAGTGGACAGACCTGTTTGAGTGTAATGGAGACAGGATCAGTGAGAAGAGTTTGAAGGAACTGTTGGATGCTCTCAGTAATTTTGATTTACCAATGGAAGCCACTGTATCAAATTTGTCAAAATCATTGTTATGTTTCTGTAGATCCAACAATTGGAGAGAGATTTCAAGTCCAGTTGCTTTTGATGATGTGTCTGTGGACCAATCACCTTTGGTTGGTAATAATGGGAGATTAGGTTGTGATGAAAATATAAATGTGCACAATTTTTCAGCAAATACTGTTGAAGATGATTCTGATTCAGATGATATATTTAGTGTTGGTCAGAGCAGTAACACAGAGGATGATGCTGATTCAGAAATGTTTTGGTTCTCAAGTTACGACTCTAATGAAGACCGAAAGGCTAACCTATTCACCAGCCTTGAGGATTTGACTGTTGATATGACATCTGAGGCATCAGCTGGTTGTGATGACAAATTCTCAAATCAGATCAAATATGGAAACCTAGACAATGAAGAGGTAGAACTTGACGAGCCAACAGGCAAAGTTGGCAACTGTCGCAACCTACCATCTGCGCATGAAATTCTGGAATCTTGGAAGGAAAGCAGAAAAAAGGATGGCATGTTCTGCCCCTATCAGTTTGGTGGGAAATAAGCGCAATTCGTTTCATCATAACTCATCGGATGAACAAAGCTACATAGTATGTGCATGTGTCATGGTATTTTTGTCAACTATACAAGCAAGGATGGAACTAGGAGAACACTATGGGGGCCATGACCCCTCTGTTTCTCTGAACATTATTGTTTGTCATAATTTTTTTTTTAAAAAACATAATTAATTAAAAAGATAAAATTTCTAATTGCTTTCCATATATATATGTCATTCTTCTTCCATCTTGAATTCTCTTTCTATTTTATATCAAAAAAAATTATTCATCCTATTAGAAATTATTTTTATGATTTTTTTTTGCTTATATATAATTTATATATCATATATATATACATGTGTGTTTTGTGTATGTGTTGAAAAAAATTTATTTTTCTTTTGACGACTCCTATAATGAAATCTTGATTTTGTCCCTGTATATAAGTCAATGCTTTTTTATCACTGCAACTAAGGGGTACTTTTAGATGAATGTCTCCATGATTTGCATGCTTTGCTTTATTTTGTTGGAAGAAAACCAATCTTGACCTACACGGTCTGAATTTTGTCTGAACTGGATTTGCTGATGAAGCCATTTGAGTATAAAATTTTATTGCTTTTGCCAAGAAAAGAAAATGACTGACTTTCTACACCTATGTTTTAGCAATAGTTCCATTTGTTAAGGTTCTCTCTTTGAAAATCTCTCTATTGTGCTAGTACTCTCTCTTTTTAAGATCTCCTTCCATGCTTTGTACAAATGCATAACTAACAAATAAGATGCCAAATGGAATTAAATTTGTGCAAAAGAAATTAAAATTTGAAGTTGTTATAGTGGGCTTCCAAAAAAAAAAAAAACCTTTTGTTAGAGTAGAATGGACTGGTTGAATTTGGGTTTATGGGCCGATTTCATTTTGATGATTTGATTTATTGTTTTTTAGACTCCAATGTGTAAAATTTAGATTATTCGAATAGAATATCATATTGATCCAATAATTGTAGTTATATAATTTCTTCACATTTATACATTTTTCAAAAAAGTAGATAACAAATATAATTTTAAAAGCAGATCATTTACTTTTTTTAAAGATAAATATGATTAAATTATGTAATTATATATTGATTTTTAAAATAATGATGAACACGATAGTCAGAAAAAAAATTAACAAATCAAATAATCAAAACGTAGGCCATTGGATACAATCCATGGAATGAAAACAACGTCGTTGCATATATACTTTACATTGTCGTTTTCAATTACTTTCAAAGCTGTAACAATGAAATGCCCTACACTCGAGTATCAAATGTTAGAACCCTAAAAACCTTGGTGAAGAGCTTTGAAAAGCAAGATCAAGCTATGTAAGTATTTCTATCTATGTATAAAGTTTTGATATATATATAAGTTTGTATGGTGTGTTTTATGTTATAAAAAAAAAAAAAAATTAAATTAAGTTAAAAATTCCGTCTAAGTTTTTTGTGTATCTTTTGTGTTTGATATTTTCATAATTATTTGTTTCATTTATAGTTGTTGTAAAACCTATATGCTTAGTGTATGTCAAAGCCTATATACTCATTAAGATCTTTTGACTATTGGCCATAATTAAGTCTTTAAGATCATAAAAGAGAGGTTTTAGGCACCAGATAATATATTAGGAGGGTCTTAGGTACCAACAACAATCTAAAATGGCAATTAATTCTGATGATATAATATGCTTTGGAAATACAAAAAATAATGTTAATAATAAATATGATCATAGTCTGCATATTACTAAAGAATCTGCAAATATAAATAGTGTGTGTTCTAGTTTAAATAATATTACTGATATTATGTGTTCTTGGTTTTCTAAATTAGATAAAAATCAAAAAATAAATCAAAATTATCTAGAGACTAAAGTTGAGTCTATAGAATCTAAAATAGACAATTTGGGTTCTATAATAAATATTGATTTAAATAAAGAAGCAAAAAATCAAATAAACAATTTGGTGACAAAATTAGAAACTATATCCTTCATAAACAATGATGGAATGAATAGTCCAGAAGATAGTGACATCCCTAGGCTATTTTATGGTACAAAAGATATTATGGTACTTCAAACCAATACCTATAATAAAGCTGAATATGAAAATATTGTTGAAATATTGGATTATTGGAGAAAATTATATAAAGACCCAGGCTTAGGTATTGATGAAAGAAATAGGCTACTGGATCAGATAAGAGAAACTTATCTAGAAAATGAAACCCTTTTACAACACTTTAATTATGATATTAATATGTCAACTAATGATGATGACAACCAATCATCCTCATCTGAAGAATCAATAGATCAAGATATTTCATCAAAAATAAATAAAGGGAAAAGAAAGGCCGAAGAGCCAATTGATCCCGAATTATTTGGCACATGGGGAGATGGAGAAAATTTTGACTTTATTCAAACAAATGAAGTTAAAAATGATATTAACATTGGAAGTACCTCCAATCCTACACCTGAGCCAGTAATATCTAGAAAAGATAACAATCATAAGGATCCAATAGCTCAAAATGATACTTATTTAGACTTGTCTCATGTTCCTTTTAAGGATCAACCACAAGCAATAGATGATTGGGCACAATCCTTGTCCATCATTATTACCAATTATAAAAATAGTTGGTCAAAGGAAAAATTCCTTGATTATATTGCAGCAACTCTCCAGGGAGATGTGTTACAATGGTTAAGACAGTGGGAAAAATCTAAAATTGGGAAAAGTCAAAAAACGGCTTTGTTAACAAATTTTCTCACACTTGACACAATTTTAGCTGAATTTGCAAAAATCATAAAAGAAAATTTATGTGGTTTTGCAGGAGATACTAATTTGCAAGCAAATGCAAATTATATTTTGACTAAATTAGAATTATGTAATATTTGTCTTTTTGAAGATTATGTTCAAACTTTTAAAAAATGTTATTATCTTATTGATCCACTAGCAAATCAACCCTGGTTAGATCAATTTTTTCATAAACTCCCTAATCCATGGGATGAGTTATGTATTAAAATATATCCTGATTTTCTCAAAAAATGGGGAAGGAAGAATATGATAATCTTGGTGTCACGACCCCAAACCGCCCCTAGTAGTTTGGTGCCGTGATGGCCAGTAATCCGGGATTACAGAAGAAAACTCCCAAAATTCACACACAATCAGAGTATAGATATAGGGGGCTCACAAGTGCGGAAGCAATAATTTAAAGTATAAGTGGTCCATAATAGCAGTGCATAAGTCAAATGAAATGGCATACATCTTTTCATAGCTTTACAACTTGAATATAAATAGAGATGAAGTACAAAAATACATATTACATCTTAACAAAAGGGCTTCTCAAGCCGACATGTTCAAATACAAAAGCTTCAAGATTGCCGACATCCTTACTGCCGACATAACATGCATACAAAACACACATCTCGGCGTAACCGATTTCTTGTTTGTTACCTACATATATACATAGGGAGGGTGAGCTTGGATACTCAGTGAATGGTATAAGTAATAAAGGGGTTAAATGAATGATTCCCGAGGTCTTTCAAAACAATACATAATATATCTTTGTCAAAACCATACTTATCATAGCTTGTACAAACCATGAGATAAATCTTGTTCATCAAACTTGATCTTACAAAACTTACATACTTAACATATGTCAAATCTTATAACATAACCTCGGCATAACCTTGGTCCTTCAAAACTTACTTACTTACTTACTTACAAGACCCACGCGGTAAACTGCCAGTGGCAAAACAAGACTAAGTAAGAAGGCCCGTAGCCCTTTAACACTTGGGTGCTGCGCAAGTTTAGAGTCCTCCAGCACAAGGGACCTATGTTACAAGAGCTCGTAGCCCTTTAACACTTGGGTGCTGCTCAAGTTTACAGTCCTCCAGCACAAGGGACTTTCCGAGAATGTCGTCAAAACAAAGCTTACTTGATACATTGCCATTCAAAACGAAGCTTATACTTGATACATAAAATAGGGATATCATTTATGCTTAACAAATACTTTTATCAAAACAAGGCAAAGCTTTATCAAAACCTTAAGAACATAACTTTATTAAACATACCACTCACATAGTTCTTGGGATGTCGGGATCAAGGCAAAGGTCCAAGTCCTATAAACACATGGCAAAGTCTATTGAATGTACTCTTAAAAACAAGCTTTACATGAATACAAATGATCTAGGGAAAACATGTTGGGAAACATCTAGGGAAAACATGCTGGAAAACATGTTGGAAAACATCTAGGGAAAACATGCTGGGAAACATCTAGGGAAAACATGCTGGAAAACATCTAGGGAAAACATGCTGGGAAACATCTAGGGAAAATATGCTGCGTACCAACCAGGTCTTGGAATGGATGCACAGAAATGGTCTAGGCAAAAATGACCTAGCTGAGTGAACTCAGGAGGTCTTGGCCGAGGTCCCACACCTCTTGGCCGAGGTGTGGTTACCTAGGCTTCAGTATGCAGCTGCTTGCCGAGGTGTGCACAAGACAAACTAAAGGTGTAAGTGATCATGCAAGGTAGGCCAAGGTGAGATACGATGCTTGGCCTAAGTGTGAGGTCTAGGTGAGAGTGATCTCGGCGACTACACCTCAGGAAGTGAGGTCTGGAGATCTGGGTTTCCACCCGCGAAGAACAAGAAGAACATGAACATGAAGATCATGAAGGACATGAATGCTAAAATCATAACTTCTTTATTTACAAAATCTGGGATTTCATGCTATGAGTTCGAAAACATGGACCTGGGTACCCATACTTGAAAATCATGTGAAAACAAACACAAAAACATAGATCTTGGCAGGAGCCTTCGGATCAAAACATAACTTTTCTTGAAGAACACATGAAGGCTATTTTCTCTTTCTAAAACCGGACTTCAAAACAATGCATGGCTTACAAATCATATTCGATCATGCAATGCAATAACATAAACGTAAAGAACAACAAGAGCAGGTCAAGAATCTAACCTTAGAATGCGGATCTAACGGTTCGATCTCTAGGGATCAAGCTTGGAAATCTTCCTCCTCTCAAGAACTCTTCTCCCTCTACTAGAGCTTCTCTCTCTACTCTTCAAAACAAGTATAGGAACAAATGATAGGTTTCTCTCTCTGCCGGCTGACTTAACTCTCAGCTTGGACACGTGGCAACGGCTGGTTGGTTCTCCTCAAAAAGT